AGATCGATTATAGATTGCCCAGTCTTCCTTCCAAGGAGTGGCTGGTGGGTTTGAATCACCAGCCTTCTGGTCCATTGTATACATGTACCACATTTTATCTGTTCAGCCATTGATGGACACTTTGGTTGTTTTATGTTTTTGCTATTTTGAATCATCTGTAATGAACATAGGTGTGCATATGTGCTAATGACTTCCTGAATGACTCTTTCCTTGTGGTTGCAGCTGGTGAGAGTAGAGTTACAATCTCTTTGGTTTTCTCTTTCAGGGTTGGAGGACCAGCTAAACCTGAGAAAACAGATCATAACTGCAGTAACAACACCCTAACACTAGGCATGTTCTGTACTTTGGACTTAGTGATGTTTCTAAAAATATATTGTCACAGATCATAGCTTTTTACTTTTATAATTTTTTCCCGATTGTAAAGCTAGTACATGTTCATTGTATAAGATTCAGAATGTATATAAAAGTGTAAGGAAAAAACAGAATGTGGCTATTTTAACATCTTAGTTTCTATACTAAGCCAACATGCCTATTGTGTGTCGTATAATGTGAGAAAGGAATAAATAAGAATAAATGGACACAATACTCACTCTTAAGAAATTTAGAATCTTACTGCAAATATAAGAATTTCCTGCAAAAACAATTAGAAAGGTGGGAAGGACACAGGGAAGAGGTAACTATGGGGAGGAAGTAGGAAGAGGTGTTACATTGTGGAAAATTGCAGTCAGTTTCATGAGACAAGATGTGTATCAGTTTACTGGGTGAGCTTTCACCCCAATCAATAAAAAAAAAGAAGAAGAAAGGCATTGTTAATTTTTGTAGTGCCAAGGTTATGTGCAGTAGAAGAGTTGGTGCCATCTAGCATCTAGCTTTTGTTAGCCACAGTGATGCATCAAGCACCCTGACAAGGACTGACATTTTTAGTTAAAATCTGTCAATAATGTACATACAACTACACTGTGATTTCAGATTTATCCAGCTGCTGAATGCTTCCCATTGTTTATTTGAACTAGTATGTTACTTAATGGAGTCTGAAATATGATTAAGGTTTCTGGAGTTAAACATTTTATATTTCTGAGCTGTGCTTAATCTTTGTTGGGCAGTAGCATAGTGTTGTTCTTGGATTCTGATTCATTACCAGATTGACAGCATGCTACCAGAACAGATAACCACGAAGGAATTCTCATCCCCACTACACACATACACACATAATTTTGGCATGTTTCTTTTTATGGGAAGTGACAGATCATCAGTGATAACATTCATGCTCTTCCTGGATAGCGTACATGATGTGCCTTTGAGCTTTCAGATACTCAAAGAAGGAGATTTGGTCCTGTTGGGCAGGCCTGACAGGAAGTGGCATTGTCCCCAGGAAAAGGTAGGTACTGAGGTGCTCATACTCAAGTTAGACCTGGGAGTTAGAAGAAATAGCACTAGCAGATTTTTAAAACGAATAACAAAGACTGTCCAGAATAAGTAAAATCATCGAGATAGAGATGGAAAGTAGATTATGGTTGCTAGGGCTGAGGGGAATGAGGAGTAACTGCTGATGGGAACAAAATTTCATTTGAGATGATGAAAATGTTCTGAAATTAGATTCTGGTGATGGTTGCACAACTCTGTAAATATTCTAAAAACAACTGAATTGTGTACTCTTAGCAGATGAACTTTATGTTATATAAATTATATATCAATAAAGCTTTTTAAAATAATAGTAAAGAGTAGCAATTAAATGGATGAATGAGAAAGAATAAAGAATAATATGGAAACAAACAAAAAACCTAGTAAGTGGAAGAGTTGGGCTATAAGCAGATTTTAAAAGCCATGGAGAATGAATGACAGCCCCATAGACTCAGAAGCAGTGGTGGGACAGTATGATTGGAAATACTACCATCCTGGTCAATGAGGGAGGCAGTTGGTTCCTGAACTCAGCTTTGCTGTTCATTTATCCCATCAGTGACCCAAGTGGGGCCCTCAACTTATATAGGCCTTGGTTTCCTCACTTGTAAAAATATGGGTAGTCACACTAGAGTCAATCTTTTGTTCCACTAACATAACAGAATCATTTTTCCAATAGACATTTCCATGCCAGGTAAGAAGCAAAGGTTATAAAGATTAGTAAAAGGTAGTACCTGCCTTTGATTAATTCATTATAGTGGGGAAACAAACGTTTAAGTAAATTATAAATTACTAGTACATAAATATCACTTGGCTTTATAGCATGAATATTTCTCCATGTCATTAAGTAGTATTCAAAGTTGTAATTTTGAATGGCTATTTTATTTTTTATTTTCACTGTGGTGAAAACACATAAGACATTCGCCAACATAACAACTTCCCCGTTTATATCTCACGAACATTGATGACATTTTTCATGTTGGGCCACCATTATTGCTATCCTTTTCCAAAATATTCCACCACCATTAGAATCAACTCAATGCCCTGCAAACAAAAGTGTCCCCTTTCCCCGTCCCTCCTATCCCTGGTAACTATTAATCTTTGGTGTGTATATATATATATGTATTTACATTTTACAATAGTGGACTAATGCAATATTTGTCCTTCTGCGATTGACTTATTTCACTCAGCTTAGTGTCTTCCAAGTTCATCTATATTATGTGGATTTTGGTTTTGGAGCATCTACATTATTCTTCAGGGTTGCATAGTATTCTATTGTGTGTGTTGTGTACCACAGTTAGTTTATCCATTCCTTGGTTAATGGGCACTTAAGTTGTTTCCATTTCTTTGCTATTGTGAATAGTGCTACGATGGACATGGATGTACACATATCTATTCATGTTCTGCCTCTCACTTCTTTAGGCTATATACCTAGTAATGGAATTGCTGGATCAAATGGTATTTCTATTTCTAATTTTTTAAGGAATTGATTAATGACTATTTTTAATAGTTTCCTCATTGTTATCAATTGCCAATGAATTGGCCCCAACTCATGGCGACCTTTTGTATAACAGATGGAAATGTTGCTAGTCCTGTGCCATCTTCATGATCTTTGGTAATAGTTCCTACATAACCCATTGCTGCCAAGTCAATTCAGACTCATGGTGACCTCATGTGTTAGAGAGTAGAACTGTTCCATAAGAGCTTCTTGCTAGTAATGTTTATGGGAACAGGAAGACCAGATCTTTTTTCCCTGGCACCACTGGGTACATTTAGACTGCCAACCTTTAGGTTAATAGTTGAGCGTAAACCATTTGCACCACCATAGATAGGTCATATTTTATCCAACTTTTCCTCTAATGATGGGCATTTAAGTCATTTTCTGTTTTACACTATCATAAGTAATTGTGATGAATATTCTGTTTTTAAAATCTTTATCCAAAGAGAGCCAAAAGACTGAGTACGTAAATAACTTACAAATGAGAAATTCATACATTAATGTTTATGTAAATACAGAAGAGGGAAAATTATATTCATCAAGCACAATCTGTGAGAGGTGTAATTTGAACTAAGTCTTAAAGGATAGCTGTTTATACAGGGAAGATGAGTAAGATTTAAACATACAATGAAGCTTGAAACAAGATTGGGGTGTAGAAAAATTTGTGAAAATGGATGCTACAGTGCTTTTTGCATAACAGCCAGAGAAGAGATGAAAAGGCAGGTGGTTGGCAGCTAAGTGTTAAAATCATTGAGTGGGAGAGTGGAGAGCAGGTATTTTAGACTTCAAAAGTGGAGGTTATTGAGGGATGACTGAAAAACATTGTTGGAGGGGATAGTAGGAAACAATTATCATGCCTAGATACCTTTTTCTCCTGTGTGTTGAGAGTATTTGGAGAAACAGTAGTCTAGGTGCTTCTGTTAGAGAAAAAGATGTTTTTAGAGGAAATCTAGGTTTCATTTTAGGCAAGATGGTGAAAGAAAATTGGAAAAGGTAGAGGATGAAAGGAAAATTTGACTGTTTTCCACAGATGGTATGTGGGTTCCACAGGGTATTTGATGTTCTCCAAGTTCTCTAGCTCTAAAATGTCTATACAAATGCTAATGAAACGTTAAATACTGGCCTCTCTCTTGAGATTGTTTTCTTCCTCTTGTCTCTGTCTTGAAACTCTTAGTTTGCCTACTAACAAATCTCCATCTGCAAAGTCTTGGTGTATTAGTTTTGTATTGCTGCTGTGACAGATCACCACAAACAACAGCTTAAACAACTACATTTAACATCTGTAGGTTAGAAGTCTGACACCCATTCTTCACTGACCTGAATTCAAGGTGTCAACAGGACTGCATCAGTTTTTGGAGGCTCTAGATAGGGGAGGATTTGTTTGTTGCTCATTGTTGGCAGAATTCAGTTTCTTGCCGTTGTAGAACTGGAGTTCCAGTGGTTGTCAGCTGAGGTCCATTCTCAGCTCCTGAAGGTCTTCTGCATTCCTTGGCTCATGGTCCCCTTCCTCCATCCTCAAAGGCAACAATGTCAGGCTAAGTCCTCTCATGCTTTAAATCTTTCCTCCTTATTCTGTCTCATCTCTCTAGTCCTCTTCCACTTTTAAGGACTTCTGTGTGCAGGAGAAAGATGAGGCAGTCTGCTTCCATAAAGATTTACAGACTTGGAAACTCTGTGGAGACAGTTCTACTCTATAGGGTCATTACACATTGGAATTGGCTCCGTGGCAGTGTCTTTGGTTGGTTTGTGATTACATTGGGTCCACTTGGATAAACTCCTTATTTCAAGGTTCTCAACCTTAATGACATATGCAAAGTCCCTTGTGCCATGTAAGGTACATATTTATTGGTTCCTGGGATTAAGGCATGTCTCATATCTTTGGAAGGCCATTATCCACCTGCCACACTTGGTGGTATGTTCAGCAGATCCATTCTAAGCAGTGTGTTTCTAAAATACTTCTGGCTCTGCCCCCTTCTTCCCTACTTTGTCCCCCTTCCCTATTTGTATTCTGCATGATGTATCACATCCTCTTTTTCAGCTTAGTGGGTGTGTGTGTCTATGTCTGGAGTGACTTTAATCCTGAACAGCAGTCTCCTTTTACCAGATATGTCTTGTCGTTCAAGACTCGCAACGCTAAATGAGAAATTGACAGCCCTTGAACGGAGAATAGAATACATTGAAGCCCGGGTGAGTATGATGGGCAAGGGGCTTCCTCAGGTTAAGCAAGGGCTATCCCAGGGAGAATGTATATTTCCTATTATTGTTTAAGCAACGCTGAAAGTAGATAGTTCATTTGAAAATAGGCTTAGAGAAGTAAAATACCTCACCTAAATTTAAACCAGGTCTATGACTCCAAAGCTATGCTCATTTTTGCCACTCCCTGCTGCCTCCCTAGGATCTAAAAGATCATTTTGGACTCCTCTAATTCTTTTGAGGAATGCTTTGGTGGCATAATGCTAAGGCATTTGACTGCTAACCAGAAGGTGGGCAGTTCAAACCCACCAGCCCCTCCTCGGAAGGAAGATTGGGCAATCTTCTTGCATAGAGATTCTGCCTTGTACATCCAAAGAGGGGTTGCTATGAGTTGAATCGACTCGACGGCAGTGAGTTTGGTTTTGGGTTAATCCTTTTGAATTTACCTAAATGTCCATTTTCCTTTGACAGGTGACAAAAGGTGAGACTCTCACCTAGACCTGTGATATGATGCTGCTGGGAAGTCACTTCACAGAACAAAGCCCACGTGGGAAAGGCCCAGCAGCCTTCAGCTCCTTCTCTCCTTACAGAGCAACAGGGCTTATTCTTGTTTTTCTTTTTTCAAAAGTGTGGCCTTTGGGCTCTGCCATGTACATCTAGGGTATGATGTGGCACGTGGGGAGAAGTCCAGGGGGACTCTTGGAGACTCTAGATACTTTACCTTTTCAGTGACATTTTATTGAACTACTTGTCAATGTATTTGAGGCGCTCAGAGCCAAAACCCTGGGATTCTTTGTAAGGTCCTTCCCATCTCTCTTTCTCAGACTTTTCCTTACAGTTCTCCATGCCTCTGTTTCTATAAACAGTCTTTGTCTCCTCCCCCACCTTTGGTGGGGAGTGAGGATAGTCCTATCTGAGTCACTCATGCCCTGGCAAGGTGGCTGGCAGAGAATGTTGTTGGTAACCTTCCAATTTCTTGTCCTTTTGGGGAGGTCAAGGTCAGGCCCCCACTTGACTTGAAGGGACTTTTTCAAAGTTTACTCTCTGTCACCTGGGGTGTCTTTGCCTCTCATATTTCCCTAATAAATTCCCTAACCTTCTCTGACTGCTGTGATTGTGCTGGGGAGAGGAGTGAAATATGGGACTCACCTATTCCAAAGAAAAAGGATGTGTGGAATTATTCTAACATAAAACTTACAGATGTAGCTGTTCGATTTGAAGCCTAGGTGGCTAACCAGCCCAAGCCCTCATGTTTGGACTTCCAGCTGACTAGTTAATCTTGGGAATCATTTGGTCATTCAGCAGATAATTTAAAGTGCTCACTGTGTAAGCACCTTAAACTCTTAATAAAAGGTCCAGAGTTGAATCAGGCTGGTGCTTACAGTCTTTTGAAATACTAGCATTCTCACAATTTAACCACAGTACAGAGCAGACTATTATTTTATAAGGTACAAGCTAAATTTCCACTTCCTTTGAAAAGCAAATAGTTAAATTACCAAAGTCTAAAACTTTTTATTCCAGTGTTCAAAGTTTACTACAAACTTGTGCCCACCTACTTCTTCAAGCTTATCCCCTATACAAAATCTCTGTTTCAGTCACACAGACTCACTAGGCTCTGTATATATTAATTCACCGCTATACAGATTGCATTTCCTACTCAAAGCAAGGTGTGGCTCACCAATTGAACTGACTTGTAGAGCTCAGGCTGCTTTGCACTGTCATAGCCTTTTAGAATCCCTGCTCCGACCTTTGGAAGGCCATTTAAAATAATGCCTTCATTTAAAAATAAGACATTGCAATGGAGACAAAACTTTGGCATCCTTTATTTACAATAAGTACTGTTTGGAACATAATTGAGTTAATCTTTAGAGTGCTTTTACAATCACTTGAGTACATTATTTGTAATACCTTCCCTATCCTTTCTGCAGTGAGGAAGTAAATATTTCTGAAGTTCAAGTTTTAGGTTGTCAGGTGCTGTGCAGTTAGTTTTAAAACCAGCACCAGACAACCTAAAACTTGAACTTCAGAAGTATTCATTCAGATATTCATTGAGTTCCTGCTGTGTGCAAAGACCACAGGAGTAGAAGTGATAGTAACTGAAATAGGAGGAAAAGTGCTGCTTTTCATGAGTTTACATGTGAAAATGCTCAATAAATGTTTATGGTCATGTAGATATTAATCTACTAATTTATTGGTATCAAAGTAATGAATGTTTCTAATGCTAGTGGCCTAAATAAAAACACATTGCAGAATTAAAAAGAGAGCAACAGGTCCCATTTCATATGGGAAGCTAGTGAACCCAGCCTCCTTTATCTTACGTGGAACTTGAAGGTGTGTGTGTCAGAGTGCTTTCCTTTGTTACTGCCCTCTTTTTCAGAGATGGCCTTGGCGCTCTTAAGGATATATAGCTAATGTCGTCTATAATTTATTGAGTATTACAATGTGCTGAGAGCTTTCCATACTTTATTTTATTTAATCCTCAAGCCCTATGAGGTAGGTGGTATTATCTCTGTGTAATAGGTGAAGAAACAAGATAGTTCAGAGAGGAAAACTTGCCCAGAGTCAAAGTATGTGAGGTGCTAGGATTTGAACCCGACTTATCTGACTTACAGACTGCTGTAACCATGCTACTTCCAAATGTGGTATGACCAAATTTGAAACTTCCTTTCTCATTCCCTTTCCGTATACTCACATTAAATACTTTATTTTTGCAGTGTTCCCTTCTCTCTCCCCTTACCCCTGGTAACCAAAACAAAGTTTCATTCTGTATATAAACCTTTTCACATTAAATCATTTAAACAGTTGCACACCTATTTTAGTATGATATGCCTCCTGACCATTGTCATCCCTTTTGTAAAGAAGGTGTGATGCATTTTCTTTCCTGTGTTGGGCAAATACTTCACATGGATTGTCTCTGCTGTCTAGTTTCACTTTCCCAGCTTTCTTTCTCTGAGGAGTTCACTGTATGTTGTATTTTCTGGATGTTTTATCTAAAGAATTTAATCAACTTTAGCACTCTGGATTAGAGAGATGCTTCTGGAGCCAAAAGAAGCAGCTTCATCTCCTTTCTGAAAAGCCTTGTTTGGTCAGGCTCCAGGAACTGGTTATTTACTCGCAAGTCACATAGATCTTTGCTTCCAGCTCATTGCAGTCCATAAATAGTGGTGCACTAAACCACTATTAATTTTTTCCCCAAGATGTCACTTGAATTTAGGCATTTACAGTTGTAGAATACTAACATTTTACTTTGATTGAATGATAACGTTACACTATACATTTTAATCTAGGCTTGTTGAATCGATTTTCTTTCATATTAAGATGTTTAGTCCTTATTATAAAACTAAGATGTTGACAGGATTTTTTTAACGTTTTGACATTTCCTAAAAATCATCAGTCATCATGAACAAAAAACAGAACTTTGTTGAACTTTCTTACACCTGTTTTACTATTTATTGATGTCTGCACCTCAAGTGCAGCTACCACCCATCTGTCATGGAGGATTACATGTTGCTTGATGCTGAACAGGTTCTAGTGGAGCTTCCAGAATAAGACGTTAGCAAGAAGGACCTGGTGATCTACTTCTGGAAGTCAACCAATGAGATCCTTTTGGATCACACTGGACCTATCCCATTGTGCATTGAGTCACCATGTGTTGATGGGGCCCCACTCAGCGGCAGCTAACAGCATATTATATACCATGAGGTGCAACAGCTCTGCTGGAGAGGTGCTACTGAATCCGATTAATACAATTCTACATTTGAATCCAACAACAAACTCTTTGGGTTCTGTCAGACAGGACAGGCATTTTGATTTGAATTATAAGGAAACTTTGAGCTTCAGAGAGGTTAACTGAACCCAGATTGTCTGAATTCAAATTGTTCTCAGTTGCCTCAATATAATGAAAAATTGGAATTTTTTTCCTCCTTGGTTAGACAGTATAAGGAAGTTACCCCATTGTGCCTCTCTTTTCCTCCTGAAATCTTTGATTTCTAAAAGTAATTCTGAAGGGCTGTTTTCTAACATGAATGGAAAATGAGCTAAATAGAAGAAACCTGTTCTCATCCATAGGAACCTGCAAGGGAACAATTATGCTTGGAAATGTTTTCTACCCAGTAATTTGGTTTAATTCAAATATTTATACAAAAACTAAAAGTGTTTGAACTGGTGAACCCAGGTATGAATGCACATCTTGTAATAATAAAGCAATTTTCAATCTTTTTTAAAAACCAAGCTTGACCTAGGTTTCAGAAGTGAAAAGAAGTAAAGGTACCGTGCTAGCCCTCTACTAGTCTCTCCCTGGGTCTTTTTGACAACTTAAGAGAGCAAAAGGATAATTGTCAGAAGTGATGTCCATTGGTCAGTCAGAACAGAATGTGGTATACCAGTCTTTGTGTTTGGAAAAGTCTGGGGCAAAGTTTCCTTTGCACCTTTGCGCTTGTTGAGATTACTAAATGTATGGTTGGTTTTGTACCTTCATATGTATGCTTTCAGTATTAAGGATCCATAGCCCCGACAATCACATTTTAAAAATAACAATTTTATTGTGAAGTAATTTTCAGACTTACAATAAAATTACAAAAATAATGCAAAAAATTTCCATATACTTACCACAGATTTTTGAATTGAGATTATTCCTTTTATTCTCAAATCTGAACTCATTCAATATGACAAATCCAGTGTTATTTTAAGAGTAAACATAAGAGATAAGTATGTTATAAAGTGAAAAAAGATTAATAGAATCTTTTAAAATAGTAATAGTGCTCCAATTTAATGAATTGTAAGTAATTCAGTTTGGCTTTCACAGACATTTTGCCTGAGATATTTATTAGAATTAAATGTTTTATTATGTGTGAGGCACTGGAGATAAAATGGTGAGAAACACAATTTCTATTCTCATGGAGTTTACAGTCTTATCATTCACTGTATGTTCATAAGCAACCCAAAGGACACCAAAATGACATTTGCAGGAAAAGAAGATACCACACAGGAACAATATGATACCAACTTTACATAAGGAATATATCATAGGAAAAAATTTTATTATCCACAGAAATCAAGTTTTTAGTTACTCTTTTTTTAATTTTTTGTTTTTCCTAGTATAATACATAACTGTTTGCAACGCATTAACAATTGTCCTGAATAAGCTCAATTGACATAACATGTTACACAAAAACATTGTTTTACATCCTATTTTAGTGAGTAGTGACTGGAGTCTTAAAAGCTTGCAACTGGCCATCTAAGATGCATCAGTTGGTCTCATCTGGAGCAAAGGAGAATGAAGAAAAAAAAAATGCATGGAAACAATTAGTCCAAGGGACTAGTGGACCATGGGAACTTCAGCCTACGTGATCCTGAGACCAGAAGAATTAGATGATGCCCAGCTGCCTCTGTCAAGTACTTGGAAAGGGATCAGAATAGGAGAACCTGGATAGAGTGGGGAAAAATGTGGAACAAAACAAAATTATTAAAATGGTCAGGCTTACTGGTCTAATAGAGTG